GGCTTTAAGAGACCATAAGGCATGTTGCTATGTGTCAGCTATGATTGAAGTTTCATTCAGACACATCTCCAGCTCCCTCTACCGGGTTCTGGATTGGTGCAGTCCAACAAACATTTCTTGTACTGAAAACGCTATAATTAAAATCATGCCTGAAGGACATTTAAAACCTGTGCATTGACTACTAGATTGCACATGGGGGCTCAAGCATAATCCTTACTTGGCCATTGGGTAGATAAAAACTGGACTTCACCAGTAGCAATGGCACTATTTCTCTCAAGCAGCTAGCCTAGCTTACCCAATCTTCTTTTATTCTGGTTTTTTTTTTTTTTTTGCAGTGTAATGGGAAACCCATTCATTTTGAGAACAATGGCTTTAAATTGCCTTTGCTCTCAGAACTGTAGGTTTATAACTTCCTAATGCCTTTAAGTAACATAAGCATATAATTGCCTTTGACTGATTCAGACCACAGGTCCATCTTGTCCTGTATCTCGTGTCTGTCAGTTGTGGAGTGGATACTGAAAGGGAGACTGAACTGGGTATGACCAGGACTTTCCCCCCGTTCCCCTCACTAGCAGCCTCCAGCATTTAAGGTCTAGGAAGTTCTGGTTCAGAGGCTTAAAACTCCCATGCTCAGTAGCTACCGATGCCCCTTTTTTCCAATAATGTGTCCAATTGCTTTCCTGTACTTTTCCCAGGATGGACCCAGCACCGAGACTGGCTTACCTGGACATCTCCCATGCCAGCCTGCTCAGTGAAACCTGGTCACGGGGAGGCACTGAGCAATGCCGGAGGTACCTTGCTAACCTCATTTGCTGCTTCCCCAGCATCTGTGTCTTGGATGACAATGGACAGCCCATCTCTTGGGGTCTAACTGACCAGTTTGCCACCATGATTCATGGTTATACCCTTCCAGAACACCGCAGAAAAGGTTATAACCGGCTTGTTGCTACCATATTAGCTAAGAAGTTACATAGCCAGGGCTTTCCAGCTCAAGGTAATGTCCTGGAGAAGAATGTACCTTCTATAGCATTGCTGAAAAGTATGAATGCTCAGTTTCTTCCCTGCCAGTTTTTCAGAGTCATCCACACTCCTTTGTGTTTCTTAGCTATACCTCACCTATAGTCCTCAGTTACAAGACCTGAGTTAGAGGTACAAATGACTGAGTTTTATAACACTCACTCACCTGCTCCTTTACAGGGCTTACTGGTGAAATTCAATGGTCTCTCTTATATGGGAGATCACCTTACATGATTCTTTTTCTGGCCATAAAAACCTATGAAACTGATATATCCAAATAACTATTCAGGACTTGATAATTCATCAGATCAAACACAGATAAGAATGGATTTAGGGCTACTGTTTTGCCACTGCAATTCAACCATACATGCATTTCCTCTGACTGAAAAATGATTCCTCTAGTTTTCTTATCTGTGTTGTATATTCATTGTCACAATTCTGGGGTCAACGCTAGCTCTGTCCCCTTCTCTGTCCCCTGAGTTCACCCCTTTTGATTCTTTTTGTACCAGGCCTTGGATTACAATCCCCTGCATATCACCCCTGTTTTACATCAGCAAGTCTGATATATGCCCAGACAACCATTCTGTTCCTTCTGGGGCTGACAGAAGTAATCAGTGACCAAGCAGCCTCCTTAAAACAAAGTATCATTTATTTAGAATAAAAGCATTTTAAAGGAAACTTTTCTTAGACAGTAAAATAAACAATGTGCATATCTAGTGCACCCATCTTCCACATGGGGATTCTAGAAGCAGTAAATTGCTATAGACTTTGCCTCTAGATTGTTTCTATATCAGCTTTTGCCCTGTTACACTTATCTGCACAGCCCCTGGTATCTCCATTCCCTCCCTACATCCCACTGCCTGCTTCTGAGTAATCAGGACAAATTAATTGCCTGCAGTAATTTGACCCAGTAATTCCAATTGTAACCATACATGGTTTGCAAATCTTTGGAAGCAGAATCCTTGAAGTTAACAGCTCCGTCCAGTTTCTTTCAAGGCTATACTCAATATTCTTATCTGGGAAGTCACTATGTTGCTTGTCTGTTTATTCTTTTCATAGCTTCTTTTGAATGCATAGCGGTTTTGCAATCATTACTGTAATTTCATGTTTGGTAGCAACCAAGTGATAAAATAGTTCTACCTCTTTTATTAAGAAAGGTTGTAAGAGTTGTTCACAGAACCTAAGAACTGAAACTCGTATGTGCCAATCCTACTATCGGAGAACTTGAACTCACGTGTGTCAGCCCTACTAGCAGTAAACATATTTAGCAGCAATACACTGAAATACTTGAAAGGTAATTATATCAACCTTTGTGCATTTGTGGACAGATCTGCTCATCTACATGCCCAAAGAACGATACAAGGATAAAAAATATGCTCAACCATATGCAAAAGAACTAGATCTCAGGTGCTTCAAAGGTTTCACAGCTATGATCTTAAAGGAAGGGATTATGATTCAGAAGCTGTTACATTTAAATAAATTCTCCTCAGGCAATAAGATAGCACAGATCCTCCTTTAAAAGATGCTTCATATGAGAAAACTCCCTACGTGAATACACCCAGGATAATTTTTGCAATCGCACTTCTGTCTGGTCACACAGTACCTTACCTGTGCTGTGCCATACGCATTAGGGTCTAATTTCTATTTAGTCCTGTGCTTAATGGGTCTCCTTACACTGCAAGAGCAGAGATTTGACCTGCTGCATTTGATCAAAATTCTGCATTGTTCTGCAATATTGTTTTTTTCTATGTGCCATCTGCCACATTTCCCCCATGTTATTGCATTTCAGGGGATTCTGATTCATAGGAGGAAACCTGCTTATAAATGTAAGAATATGCATAGAAGAACCGAATCATCTTTCTATAGAATGAAAATATTTTAACATGGTAGAATAGCCACTGGGAATGAGGCCAGTTGGAGAAATTACTGTGTGTGTAGAGTTCAACACTGGGTCTTTTATAAGACTGCAAGGATTTAAAAATTTCTCAATCAGCAGAAATTGGCAGGAGAAGTGGTAAATTAGGTGTGTATGAGGGTAAAGTTCTATTATAAGCCTCTGCATAGATACTGAAAATACAAGTAGGACACACATAGGATAACCGAGGAAACCCTCATAAATTCCTAATAAAAATTACTAGGTTACCTAAATTCCTTGAATTTGGCCCAGATGAAGAGCTGGCTTATATTTAAAAGGCCAGATCCCACTCCACCTATTAGGCGCCTTCCTGAGATCTAAGCTGATCCCTGCTTATATTCCTGGAGAACGGTTTATACTAAAAGTGGGCAGATCATTTTCTTTCTTGCTGTTTCCTGTGATTTCATCTTAAAACTAACGTGATGATATGTTACAAAAGCAGGTGAGTTAATGCTTCTTTGGGGATTTGAGCAAGAAAAGGTCACCCTTAGGCATCTAATTAGGCACTGAATAGGATCTGGCCCAAAGTTGCTTGGGTATTACAAAAAGCACGATGTGGCCCCAGTTTAGCTGAGCCCATACCACTCTGTCTATGAGCACTCTATATTAGTCTAAACCTAGCTATATAGTAGGTTGGCATATGAAATAATATGGAATATACCAAACAATTGTAATGGAAAGGAAGATTCAGTGGAGAGGGTGTGAAGCTGGGATGTGGGAGAGCTGCTTCAACAGCAGTCTTTCTGGATGAATCACTTAAGCTCTGATGTATTTAGGCACATAACACCCACTGAGGTGCCTAAGTTAATAAGAATCCCATATTTAAATGTATTGGAAGATCTTGCCCTTAGTCTCTCTAATAATGCCTTGGTTTCCATTCTGTAAAACAGACCCTTTTGTACCAGATTAGGTAAACATATTAGGACTGAGAAGTATTCAGATATCATGTTAATGGAGTCAAGTATATATATATCCAAGATAAAGAGAGGTCCTGTTATATTAGACAAGTTTTTTGAAATTTTAAAGGATCGCTTACAAAAAAATCCTGTAACAGGTATGGAAGCTGCCTGTGTTCGTTATAATCCACACTTTCAGAACGTATCACATTATATGTAGTGATCCAGAATCTTTGTTGTTACTAGGGTTAGCAAACCAGTCAATTGACTGGTCAAATATTTTCAATGACTGGTTAAGTGACTACATATTTTTTGACTGGTCAAGGATTATAGCATTTTTACAAGAAAAGCTACAATTTTGGAGTTTTTTTGACAGAAATATGATTTTTTTTTACACATTTCTTAATGGAAAATGTGTGCTTTTTCTGTGTATTATTTGGACGTATTGATAATTGTTTTTACAATTTTTGACCAATATTTGACTGGTCAATTGACTGAACTTTATTTGACTGGTCAAATACCGAACCCTAGAGCTAAGTACACCCCATCAAAAAGCCCAAAGCTGAATTGATTTAGTCTTTGCAGGTTAGTCTAAACTGCAGAGATTAAACTGACTAACAAGTGAGCAGACATTTACTTTTGATTCAGGAAAATGCAGCCACATGCCTGTAGTAGCTCAGGTCAGAAGTAATATGCAGAGCACTAGGTCATTAAACCAAGTACTAGCGCATGGCTCTCTGGCTGTGTGTTCACTTCCTCTTCCTGCTGCCCCCAAGGTCTCTGGGATTTGCAGTCCACAATCACAGTAGTGGGACTCTGCAGGGTTGCTCATCACTTACTCTTCCTGCTTCCAAGTGCCTCTGGGATGTCTAGTCCACAGTCACAGCCATCAGTAAGTTTGGCAGGGCAGGGCAGCTCTGTGGGGGAAGGTGGGGTTTAACCAGACTAGAGCTGGGGTTTGCCTGGCGGGGGGCAGTCCCTGCCTTTTCCCCTCCCCAACCCTTCTCTGCTGGAGCAGACCACCCAGCCCAGCCCAGGGCTGGAAAGCATGCTAGGATGCTGGGGGACTGTGATTTAACTTGATCCAGGAAGGGGTCTGGGACAGAAGTTTCATAAACCAGTTTGACCCAAATCAGTTAAGTCCAATACTATATTCAACCAGGTTTATCTTAAACTAGTTTTAGCCACTTTGGAACTGGCTTATGTGCACTAAACTTCTGTTCTGTTACAGATTTAAACCAGTTTCTGATGACTTAAACCAGTTTACATGTAACTTCTGTCCTTAGCCTAGTTGTTATGATAAATGCATTACTTCTAAGATTTTACTTGACCAAAAATATTATTTAAAATATAAAGATAAATGTATATAGCTTAAAAGAGCCAGGAAGTGTAAATATTAGCTTGATGTAATGAATATATCAAGAAATATTTTCATAATATTAGATTTATTCACATCCTTTTAAAAGTTTTTCTCTCCAGATTTTCCCAAAGCATAGGCTGGAATCAAAGTAAAGCCAGCTTGAGAACAGTGAGTGGTACCAGGCCAGCTAACAGGGGAGTGTGGTTGGGAGTTTACCTTGGCTGCAATGACAATTTTTTTTCACTGTAAATTTGCTAAGCATCAGCAGGTAAGGATGGGAGAAGGGATTTCTAGTAGGAGGAGGAATGCTACCATAAACTTGGGACTTTTTGGTTTTTGGAAAGATGACTACAGCCCATCTTTGATCAGGACCTTTTTGGCAATCTTAGACACAGTAAGCTGCATATGAGTCTACAGTGTGCCCTTGTTATGAAGAAGGCTAACGACATACTGGGCTGCATTAGTAGGAACATTGCCAGCAGACCGAGGGAAGTGATTCTTCCTCTCTGTTCAGCACTGGTGGGCTCAGATCTAGGGTACTGTGTACAGTTTTTTTGGACACAGATTACTGTGTCCAGCATATTTGTAGATGACACCAAGCTGGGTGGAGCTGCAGACATTTTGGAGGGTAGGATTTGGATTTAGGGTGACCTTGATAAACTAGTGAAATGATCCAAAATTGGGGTGGAAAAATAGCATACACAAGGAGGAATGACTTATTAGGCTGTAATACTGCAGAAAAGGATCTGCGGGTTACAGTGGACAATAAACTGAATATGCGTTAACACTGCTCTTTTGGGGGGAAAAAAACAACAAGCCATATAACATATTATGCTTTGTTGATAGGACTGGCTTGAAAGCCAAGGAAAGTGATTTTTCCACTCCATTCAGCACTGGTAAGGCTTCATCTCTAGTACTGTGTCCAGTTTTCAGCACTGCACTTCCAGGGAGACACGGGCAAATTTGAAAAGGTCCAGCAGAGCACCACAAAATTGATTAGAGGTCTATGAAAGATGACTTATGAGGAAAGATTGGAAGAACTGGGATTATATAGTCTGGAGAAGTGAAGACTGAGGGGGGGATTTCAGAACTAACTTCAAATTCTTGAAGGGTGATTATTAAGGATCATAGGAAAGTAGGGTTGGAGGGACCTTATGAGGTCATTTCTGATCAAGGCAGGATCATCCCTAACAGGGCTGTGCAAAGCTTCGGCTCACGATTTGGATTCAGAGATGATTTGGATGATTTGGAGGCTGAATCTATTAATCTGAATCAAATAGCTGGAAGTTTTAGGCTTTCCGAATGGATTCGGAGCTTCCGAATCACTTCAGAAAAGATTCGGAGCTGATTTGGCCATAGAATATAATGGGGAATCAATTAAATATCTATATCTTTGTTGTTTTTTGTCTGATTTGGATCAAACTTGCAGGGATGGTAGCCTATACTGAGAGCATGGAGCCTGCCAAGTTTCAAGAAGATTGGTGCAGGGGCTCGGGGGGAACTGCACCCCAAATTCCTAAAAGCAAAACTCATGTCATGTGTATGTGTTACACCATGGGGGGTGAAAACTGCAGGGATGGTAGCCCCTGGTGAGGCCACAAAGCTTGCCAAGTTTCAAGGAGATAAGTGCAGGGGTTTGGGAGGAACTGCACCTCAAGCTGCGGACAAGGAAAACTCATGGCATGGGTGACACTGCATGTGTTAAGGCGCAGCGGGGTGAAAGCTGCAGGGATGGTGGCCCTTGCTGCAGCCATGAAGCCTGCCAGCTGCCAAGGAGATAGGTGCAGGGCTTCTGGGTTCTCGGGCCCTGCACCTCTAGCTGCTGGCAGGCACAACTCGTGCCATGGGTGCTTGTGCAACTGACTGTCTCTGTTTTGGGGCAGTTGATTGTCTGTATTGATTATTTCCTCTCCTTGGTCTCTGGTTTTCTAGGTGTTAATTGTTGCTAATTAACTGGCTACATTAGCTAGCTACTGTGCATTGAGCTGGTCCCTGTGTGAGTCATGATTGACTGGTAACTGGTAACACAGTAATTTAGCAGCCAGGCCTGCAGTAGTGTCTCCCCATCTCACCCCTGGCCCCAAGACAGACACAGTCAGTTATACAAGCACCCATGGCATAAGTTTTGCCTGTCAGCAGCTAGGGGTGCAGGGCCCCAGAACCCCCCTGCACCGATTTCCTTGGCAGGCTTCATGGCCGCAGCAGGGGCCACCATCCCTGCAACTTTCACCCTGCTGTGCCTTAACACACACAGTGTCACCCATGTCACGAGTTTTGCTTGTCTGCAGCTTGCAGTGCAGTTCCCTGTAAACCCCTGCACCGATCTTCTTGAAACTTGGCAGGCTTTGTGGGCTGAGTGGGGGCTACTGCCCCTGCAGTTTTCACCCCCCTGGTGTAACACATACATGTGACATGAGAGAATTTGGGGTACAGTTTCCCCCAAACCCCTGCAACGATCTTCTTGAAACTTGGTAAACTTCATGCTCTAAACAGAAGTTATCACTCCTGCAAGTTTCATCTAAATCTGACTAAAAACAACAAAGTTATAGATATTTCATTGATTCCCCATTATACCCTATGGCTGGATATCCGAGGCAGCTCTGAAGCTGCTGCGGCTGGATCAAAGCGGAAACCTGGTCTGGAGCTCTGGATCAGATTCCTGGTATCCGAAGTGGCTGGATCCGAAGCCAGATCGAATAGCTGCCTACTTGCACAGGCCTGCTGACTAAACCATATCACCGAAATGTCTGTTCAACCTGCACTTGACAATTTCCAGGAATGGAGATTCCACTTCTCCAGGGGGCCTGTTCCCTGCTTGACCATCCTCAGAGTCAGAAAGTTCCTTCTAATCCCCAATTAAATTTCCTCTGCTGTAGCTTGAGGCTATTGCTCCTAGTCTGTCCCCTCCAGCCACAGGGAAAAGGCTATCTTCCATTCTCTTTATAATCTCCCTTCAGGTTGCTATCAAATCTCCCTTCAGTTGTCTCTTCTCCAGACTAAATAACTCTAGTTCTCCAATCCTTTCTTCAAAAGTCAAGCATTCCAGACCTTTAATCATTTTTGGTGTTCTCTGCTGGACTCTTTTCAATCAGCTATAACCTTTCTTGAAGCACGATGGCCAAAACTGAGCACAGAACTCCAGGCGAGTTTTCATGAGTGCTGAACAAGCTGGAAAAATCAGTTCCTTTGATTTCAGAGATATTGCTGTTAATACAACCCAGAATGCTTTTGGCCTTTATTTCTTTTTTTAACAACAGGAGCACATTGTTGGTTTGTATTCAGCTTATGTTCCACTATAACCCCCATGTTCTTCTCTGCACTCTTGTAACTGAGCCAAGCATTCCCCAGTGTGGATGTGTTTATACAATAATGCCTTCCCAAGTGCAGGACCTTGTTCGTGTTAAATTGCACCAGATTGATTTTGGACCATTTCTTCAGTTTTATCTAGGTCATTATGGATCCTAGTCCTCCCTTCCAGTAGGTCTCCTACTTCACTCAAGCTGGCATCAATCTGAAAAAAGAGTATGGTAATGAATTATTATCTGTGGCTGTAGGGAAGCAGACAAGGAACAATGTTCTTAAATTCCAGCAAGGGAAATTTAAATTGGAAATTAGGAAAAACTTCTTCACCAACAGGGTGTTTCAGCACAGGATGAGGTTACCTAGCAAGGTTGTAAAATCTTCACATTTGGAAGTTTTTAACAGCAGGTTAGACAAACACTTTCCTGGGACAGAGTAGTCAGGGGTGATCCTGTGCTGATCAGCAGGATGGTCTCTTCCACCTTTACTTATCTCGGAAACAAGTTTGGGGCAAATTTGAAAACTTAGGAATGGTAGCAGAGGCTTTGTGGAGCTGCAATCACTTTGCTTATCTCTGCTGAAGTCCTGACTTCTCCTAGACCCTTCCTGCCAAGCTGAAAGTCATAAATGTGAGGGGGTGGTAGGGAAATGGCACCTGAGAGCACAGGCTCAGCACTTTGGGGCTTCAGAGGAACCAGCATCAGCAGGATTTCTGTGCCAAAGCTGCCTAAGATGCTTAACCATGTGTCCTGCAGTCATCCATGATGTTTGTCTTGGCACCTGGCTGGTGGAGGTTGGATCTTCTATGCAAAGCAGTGTTTCTAGTTGTGAATGATTTAAGGTAAGACAGAGATTTGTGTCTGTTTTTTTATTCTAATGAAAAATGCACAGCACATTTATAATGGTGGAATTTCACTAAGGTCACTGGCATCCATGGGACTGTGAACTAGTATGAGAGGGATCAAGCAAAGACTAGCAAAGCATTGCTCAAACTACAGCCAAAGGCCTGTGCAAAGCTGTGTGGGAAGGACAGAAGATACACAGATAAGATAGGCATGCCAGAAAGGGAACCCTAAGCCCGTGCTGCCACACAGATCTTATGGGGCATGGGCCCTGAAGTCAACCCAACTGCAGGGGTGAGGTCCAGGTCTGAGCTGGAAACACCAGGAGCAGGGTGCCAATTGAACCTCTGCAGGAGGCTTGTGAAGAAGAGGAAGAGCTCCATTTTGGCAAGAGTCTCGCCCACACACATCCTCCGACCTTTAAAAAAAGGCATGACAAACATCAACATTTCAGAACCAGTGGCTGCTTTAACTATAGGAAGGACCTATTGACACAGGGCGGCTTCTCTTCTGATGCAACGATTCGGAACAGAAGCATCTCTTTGCGAGAGGTTTCGTGGCATGGGGAGTGCTGTGGCAGGGTGGCTAATGCAGCCTGCTATGGTCCCAGGGGAATGTGGTCAAGTTTTCTGGACTCATGCTAAAGGCGGCTCCCAAATGCTCTAGCTAAACATGAATACCTAGTCATTCAGCCCCGGGGAAGTCAAAGCTGGCCCGATAAAGTGATGGCCACATCAAACCCTTAGATAGATAGCACTGGCTACTGAAAATGCGCCCCTTAATCCTACTAGCTAAAAGGACCACTTGTGTTGGATGGCCTTTCCTTTCATAAGGGGGGTGGAGCTGAGAGCAGGGCGTTTTCCTAAAAATGTTCCAGTTTGTAAAGAAAATTACAAATATCTTAGGAGCATTTAAAAAGAGAGTAAAATTGTCCTATGGAATAGTGATGGTACAATCATAGATGTACTTTACATATTATTTTAATTAATCCACATATATTTATATTCTGAAAAGTCTTATGCATAAAACCAATTTGAAAGTTTTGAAGTTTTTGTTTCTCAGCAACACCTTCATTTTTTTTGTTTCGCATTTATACTTTTCAATTTGTTCTTGTTTCTTCTTTCATTTCCACCTCTGATCTGGCTGGGTTTTTTCATCAATTGACCTGACAGATCACAGCGTGACTAGATTTAAACTGAATTTTTTAAATGAGCATCTGAGTCTACATGTGAAAAAATACATTTAAAAGACCAAATTAAAAAAAAAACCCACACATTCTATTTAAAACTTTAAAAAGTCTTTCTATATCAAGGAAGAATCTACTTTCCAAACTTTTGTATATATTTGTAAAATTTTTTGCTCAGCTTTAAAAGCTACATCTTAACGGATTTGAGTGCACATCACCGAGGGTTGATGCCCTGTGATTGTGAGCAATGTATTTCAACAGGTAAGCTGCCATGACCTGTGTAATTTCCACCTTCTGAGTTGACATTTGATGTGGTCTCCTCAGGCTCTGGTTCAGGACAGAAGTTAACAATAAAGAACTGATTTCAGCTCCTTCAAGTCAAATGATGCTTTCCTTAATTGGCGTTATACAATGCATTGTAGTAGCCTAATACCAAGAGGACAAAGACATTGCTTGTAGAAGCAAGATCCTTATTGTAGTGGAATGAGAAATACCCAAATTGGGTTACTATTGGTGAATACATGCTCTCTGGAGGCTTATATTTAGAGTCAGGCTTATTCTATATTTATATACAGGCTTATATTTAGAGTCAGGGTCAAAGGTCTTCCCAGCTTACTAGACCGTTGGGCTAGCAGATTTGATGCATGTGTGTTTCCAAAGCTGACAACACATGAAAGAGTGATGTGGCCAGAGCCACATTTTTCCACCATTAATCCCCTGTCCAAAGGGCCAGTGTCCCATTTATAGACAGGCATTAAAGGGGGAAACCCAGGGAAAATATCTTGAGTGAAGTGCATGCTTATCCCTCTAGACTTGTAGCCAGAAAGATTAACAACTTCCCACTCCAGCCCCTTCCATGAATGGGGAAATTGTTAAATTCCAGAGGAAAAAAATGAGAGGGTATGAGGTTTAAAATGGAAAGAAACACTAGGTTATGGCATAATATGCTGGATCCTAGCTCTCTCCCTCTCACAACAATAAATAGAAAACAGAAAGTACCTGCTGAAAAAGGCATGAAGGCCTCGTTCTTCACAAACTTTCCTTCAGCATCAAGAAAATGCTCAGGATAGAAAGCATCTGGCTTCTCCCACTGAGATTTGTCTTTCAGCACAGAGGCCAGCAAGGGGATGATGTAAGTTCCCTGAAAATCACAACTGAGGAGTTATCCTATGGAGGAATATGGTCTCTTGGCCACTGCTATAGGAATAGGCATTGACAAGTACAACATACACATCTTGTTAATAAGGCCATTGCAAATACTGTCCTGGGTCTGCGGATCCACTCTGATTTAATGCAACTAACCAAGACTGGAGCTAGAGCTCACAGGAGAAGACTGAAGGAAAAGAGGGCTGCCAACAGCTCACCTTTGGAATGAAGTAGCCTTTGAGAGTGACGTCCGCGGTAGTTGCATGAGGCAAGTCCATTGGCAGGATGTTAGCAAACCTCTGAATTTCATGGACAACTGCATCTGTGTAGGGCATCTTACTTCGATGTTCCATTCGTGGAGGGTTTGAACCTAGCACTTTCTCAATCTCCTCTTGGACTTTTTCTGCAAAAATCGTATATGAGGAGACCAACATTCACTAATGATGGAAAAGTATGGGACTTTTCTGCTACAAAAGATACAGAACCGTATGTAAAAATGATATGGTACAGTCTCAGAAATCTCTCTTTCCAGATATAAGTGGGATGCTGACAATAGTTGACCTTCACATATTTGCTCAGCACTATTAAAAGTGAATTGAGAGCTTTTAGAAGTGCAAAGGAAACCCATATTCTCATTGAAGTGCCACGTAGGCCTTCTGAGCACTTACAACCAAGTAGTGGTAACAGATGAAACTTGTGCACCCTCTTGCCACGAACAGAAGCAGCATTTTTGTACATGGTGAAATTTGGGCATTCTTTTTCTGGCAAGAATGTCACCTGCAAGGAGAACAGGGGTTGACTTCTCCAATGTGTTCTCTGGTGAACACGCTGAATTCTGCTAAGTTGCAAATTTCTAGCACAAGACAAAAGCATGGCCAGTGACTAGAACAGAGCAGCTCCAGGCTTGCATAGGTGTATCTGAGATTGGAATCTGGCTGCAAAGAAATAAATGCATAAACCCACTCCTAAACTGATGTTTCGTGTCCCTCTCTGTACATGATTCAGAGAAAAAAGGAGCCATAACGGCTCCCTGCTGGAGAACCTGGCTATTTTAGCTGAAGCCAAAGGAGCTTAGGATTTAGCTGTGGGATTCCCCAGTGCAGGGAGGTCCCAGGGATGGCGGGGGAAGATGCATACTCATTATTTCATTGGGATCCTTCCTGTGGGATCCCCCAGGGCTCCATTTTGTTGCCTTTCCTGTTCAACGTATATATGAGGTCACTGGGTGAGATTATGCAGGCATACGGAGTGAAGCACCATCAGTATGCTGATGACCTGGGCCATGCGGTGTCAGTCTCAGTCTTTTCCTAGAGCATGGTTGCAGTTGGAGATTGGATGAGGTTGAACCAATTACAGGTACTCCTCACTTAACGTTGTCCCCGTTAACGTTGTTTTGTTATTACATCGCTGATCTATTAGGGAACATACTTGTTTAAAGTCTTGCAACGTTCGGTTATAACATTGTTTGGCTGCCACCTACTAGTAGGTAACTACTGTGACATAATTGGATTTGTTTAACATCGTTTGGCTTAAAGTTGCATTTTTCAAGAATTTAACTACGACGTTAAGCGAGGAGTAGCTGAAAAGCTGAATCCAGGCAAGACAGAGATGATTGTGATGGGAAGACTTCTTGACCTGGGCGGGGCAGGATTGGGACACCTATTATTGATGGTATTTAGCCTTCTCTTTTCACTCAGGTTCACAGCCTTCAGGGGTGGCTCTTGAATCCCCTGCTGCAGATGCAGCAGTGGCAAGAAACACCAGCTACCTCTGGTGAGCTGGCTGAGACCCTTTATTTAAATATTGATCGTGGTAACTATCATCCATACTTTGTTGACCTCAAGGCTAGACTACTGCATTATGGTCTACAGGGGGGCTACCCTTGATGACTGAAGTTGCAGCTGCTGCAGAATAAGGCAGCCTGCCTTCTGACATGGGTTAGTCACCCAGCGTTGCCAAGTCAAGAAATATTTTTTTACTGACAACCAATCTTTTTTACGCTGACTTTTTTTTACAGGTGTATGTTTTATATAAGTCAACAGTTACCATTCCTCTATTTGTCCTGCCTGCTGCCTCAGACTGCCATGGGCCACGTAGCCCAGTTTTCTTTCAAGGCTAGCAGCTGTAGCACTGTACTTAGACTCCTGTGGCCCTGGGTGAACTTTTAGTATCAGCCCCCCTTTTGCCAGAGATAATGATAATAATAAAAAAAAAATTACCATTTTCAGGCCACCTTTCTGTCCGGGCCCCAGGTGGCCACTCAGTTCACCCATGCCGGGTGCCCACTCAGTTCCCCCATGCCTGTGTCCGGCCCTGAGCAGCTGTTATAGGCAGGTACCAGCCAATGGGAGGCAGAAGCAGCATGTGATTGGTGGGGATGATTGGGGGGAGGTCGAGGAGGGGAGGCTCCTGTGAGCCATAAAGCACTGAAGAAGACATCCTTGCAGATTGCCAAGCACGCAAGGTGGTGCTGCTCTGCTCTTTCTGTCTATCCACACTTGCAACCAGTCTCATTCCAATGACAGATCTTCAATCAAATTCAGAGTTTCTTAGTTTTTTTTTAATGAACTGAATTTATTATTTTTTTTACAGACTTTAAAGACAAGCCTGTCTCCAAGCTTGTTCTGTTCATAGCTTTCCTCCTGCTTTCATATTGCTCCCCTTTCCAGTCTTTCCCTTGGGGTTTTAAGCTCCCTCATTACCCGAATGTCCCCCAGCTGGGCTTCCTCCAGAGGGCTGAGGGTGCCCCAGGGCCAGATCACCCTGTAACAGGCATCTCATCAATCTAACAAACCAATAAATAGGTAGAATCTGTGTAGTGTTGGCCACCATGGGGTCTGTCTAAAAAGCACTTACGCTGAATTTTAGGGTACTTCGTCATTAGCAGAATGCCCCAGCGCAGCGTGGAGGAAGTGGTGTCCATACCAGCAGAAAACAAATTACTTACGAGGCTTTTGAAATTGTCAGTGTTGAAATAACTTTTGGTGTCACTTTTCTCCTGGGGGAAGAAGGAAAAAATATTAAAACTAAAAGATCTCCAGTGAGGTAATAAGTATTTACTAAGTAAAATCTGTACTGAAGTGCTAAAGGGAACTGGAAAGTCTCTGATCCGTTGCATTTGGAAACCTATCAGTCATCAATCGCCCGAATGGGACAGTTAAGGCACTGATGGAGACACAGACACCATTCCTGGCTATTGCTTTATGAGGGCTTCTGTGCCTGTATTTGAAACCAGGAAGCACGAAATACAGCCTGCGCAAGCACTGGGAAAAGACCAAAGAAAGAAAGACCAAAGGGAAAG